CTTAAGGTGTTACCACTAACCTTAAGAAAATTGACATTGTTTCAAATTAGCTAAAATCGTAGAATAAGAGCTAATTAAAGGGTTTTTACAACTTAATGGGTGCTACTAGAGGATTGTAAAGGATTATGACTCCATTTGTAAGTCATTAACTACATTGCTTAAGAAAGATCAAATTACTTTGAATGAAAAAGCTTAAGTTGTATTTAGAGTCTTAATGAGACCATGATATTACCACTACTGTTGGTTTTATTAGACTTTTCTCGAGATTTATAAAAATTAATGCTTCTAGCACTGCATTAGAGTTATATTAATGTAAAGGGGCCATATTTGGGCATATGTTGTAAGGCCTTGTCTTTTAGACATTAATGTCTTTCACTATCTCTCTATGAGGCATTTCGGCATCAAGACTAATCAAAAAATTTTAAAACATTTGTTGTAGTAAAAGATTACCTTTCCTGGATAGCATTTACAGCTCACAAAGCTAATAAGGTATGATTACAATATTAACTACAAGAATGGGAAGAAGAGTGTAGAAACTAGTGCTTTTTTTCAGATTGCATTCTAATGAGCATTCGGTGATGGCAATCTCAAACATATCCTTTAAGTTTATGGCTAAAATTAAGAGGAGTTGGGATATTGATTCTAAACTAGGAAGCTTGATTTCTCAACTGAGGTAGCAAGTAATAGCTCATTCTCTTTACATGTGGTTTGAAAACCAATTGATTAGGAAAGGGTGTTTAGTGGTTGACATTGATCTTATGTTACAAAACAAGATCAAGTTGTTCTATACTAAAAGTTTAGATGGATTGAAACGATTTGGCCATACTTGTCAAACTAACATAAATATATAAAATGCAAATAACACATTGGAATTAAATAGAGAAAACCAAATCCAAACAAAGGTAATTTGTTGCGAACATCATAATTGCCATACATGCAATTCAAGACAAAGTCTAGTTCATACCTTAAGTTGTGCATTGTCAAGAAATCCAAAACTCAACTTCTTTCACTTAAATCTTGCACACCAAGGTAAGATTGTAGCAAACCAAAGTTGTCTAAGTGTTTGGCTTCTAACAATAATTCACACAGATGAAAAATTGAAACCTTCTAGAGGTACAAATTATGTTTGGCCAAAAACTATGCTAGTAGCTTATGATTCAAAATCCTTTCCCTTTTGTGACAATAAAAACCAGGTTAGGCATTGTATGATCACTACCAAATAAGAAAACTTTTTCCCCTTTGCATAACAATTTATGGCAAAATCTCTAAATAAAGACTAAGGTGCAACAAAACCCTATGAAGGGAAGATATGTTTAGTGAAGAAATTTCTTAAAGTATATAGAAAGTGCCAAAATTTTTTATAATTAATTTAAGAAATTTTTGGTAATTAATTAAAAAATAAAGATTGAATAAAACCAAAAACAAAAATAAAAATAAATAAACTTTTTATAAAACATCAAACTAAGACAATAAAACCTTTGTAAAGGAATAAATGATTTTCTTAAATACTCTTGAGGTGAAAATTTTTTTTAAACTATACCAAAATTGTTAGAAAAGGCTTAAGAAAATTTTCAATTTATTTAATAAATTAAAGAAAATAAAAATAATTAAGTGAAAAAAAAAACCCATTTCAACTAAGACAATTTTACAATATATAAAATTAATACGTAAAATTTTAGCATGAGCATTTTAGGTGTGCTAATACCTTTCCACATATAACTAACTCAAGAACATTATTTTATAACGTAAACCAAAACTTGTTTTTTTAAGAAGTCTTTGTCTAGTTTAAGATTTCTTTAGAAATGATAGATTTTGATAGGTTGATGTATTATTGGTCTATAAAATGTAACTGAATTAGATAATGCCAATTCATTTATGAGAATTCTTTTTAAAAATAAATTTTTATGTTTTTATCTTAAAGGCTAATAAAAATTTATATTTGATCATTATTAAAATAGTATTATTTAATTCACTGAAGTGTATAGAATCTATACACTAACAGTGTATCAAATAAAAACTTTTTAAATAGATGTCCAATCACACCTAACTAAAAAAATTGGTAATGGCTCATCTTTTCATGTTTAGTGCTCGAGTTTTTGGACTTACATACTAGAAAGTGATCGTTAGTAGCTTTAACAATGGTAGCAACCACAACAAACTCGGGGCGAGGGTTAGATTTGAGAGTGAATGAAGAAAGAAAATCTTTAAACAAAATACGAAAGAAAAAAGAGAAAAAAATAAGAAAAAAAGAATCGGACGTGAAATTTACATATTTACAAAAAGTCAAATTAGCATACCGTATGGCCAAAAAAATTTGTCATGTCAATAACTTAGTAATGATTTTGTAATTTTGTTAGATTTTGATCTGACATTTTACATCTCAAAAAATTCAAAGACTAAATTTGTTCAAATTATTGTACATGAACTAAATTTTGATTTTTATATGAAAAAAGGGATTAATCCCACAATTTTAACATTACTAATAATTAAATTTGTCCACAAACCAAGTCAAGCCAAACTCAATTGATCATTCAAAAGTAATGCTTAGGTTCATCTGATCGATCCAATTTTTAAAATCATAAATTAAAATATTTAAAAATATTTGAAAATATGAAAATTTAACTATTTTAAATATATTTTGAAATAGTTATTAAATAAAAAATAATTTTATTAATAAAACAAAATTTCAGGCCTAACCAAACCCAAATTTCAAAACTTGTCTAAGGCCTAACCTGAGTTGGGTCAAGCCCATGGGCCTAGCGGGTAGCTTATCTGGGTCTACCGTCTACCAATAATCATGCTTTAATGAATTATCAAATGAATTGGAATTCTGTTAATCACAGCCCAACGAATGTGATAAATATGTGAAGTGCTTGCTAGTGGGGATCACAATCAACGTTCTTATCATCTTTTTGGAATCAAAATGTTACACTAAGCATCATTCGGCAATAAGCAAGGAAAACATGGCCTATAAAATTAAAAAATAAAACTAAAAAATGTCCTCTAACAAGTTACCAATAAAATAAGGTATTCTTTAGTGTTGCTTTGTAGCCTTTTCCAACAAAATGCTGCCTCAAGCAGTTGAGTAACTTCTCTGATGTTTCCTCTTCTTTTATCCACATTAAACTCATGCTTCGTAGTTTAGATAGATTGTACCCTATAAATGCAATTTTTTTTATAGGCAACAATCACAAAGGAATTACGTGAACAAGTACTTGTTGGTCACATTTTTCCTTCCTTCAAGCTTAAAATTCAACGTGCAAGAATTGTCTCGTAGCCAGTATACCTTGATCAAGCAAAGCTGCTTGAATGCAACATTACAGAGAGATTTCCCCACCTTTCAGCAATGAAAGGAAAGACAAAAACACCGACACAAAGAAAAAAGAAAGGATGAGCGGGAGATTGGTTGTGGAGGATGAGGGCGCAGACGTAAACCAACAGGCTGATGCTTTTATCAAGAATGTTCGCAACAGGCTGAAGATGGAGAGGGAAGAATCTTTTAAACGCATTCAGGAGATGATAAATCGAGGAGTTTGAATTTTGTATAATGTTTTGTTCATAGTAGTTAATGTAGTTTCTGTTCCCATCCGGTCTATTACAATAAATTAAAGGTATATATATGTAAAATCATATTAAAACCACCAGCTGAAGTACCAGTTATCGGTAGTTGATATGTAGAAAAGGATTTATAACAGCTTTTGTTTTTTTTTGTTTTTTTTTTAACATTGAAATCAAAAGAAGATGAAAATGACAGGCAAGGCTATGGTTTTACATCCGTGACATGGATGAAAAGAAGAGGAAGGCAGAAAGAAAAACAAACTGGCAGATGCTTTCATCAGCAACTTTCGCGATCAGCTTTATTTTCAACAGGATGAGCCAAGCAAATATTATTGGAAGATGAAAGTCATAGGCGCCTAAGCTGCCAATAAAAAAGGGGCAGCCTTGACACCTGTAAGTAGCTATAGTTTTGTTGGTCAGACGTGAACTTTCTTAATCCCCCATGCAAAATCTAAAAAGTCGTATATATGATAATTTTTTTTATATGCATGTATAATTAAAATTAAAAGATTATATATATCTTTTTAATAATTAATTTTAATATATCCAAAAATAAGAGGTAAGTCAAAAAAATAGTTTAATTGTATCTTTTAAATTTATTAAAATTAATTATTAAAAAAGTTTAAAACTTATTAATTTTACATTTGAGTAAATTTAAAAAAAAAAGAAAAAAAATTTAATCTATTCTTAAATTTATTAAAATTAATGGTTAAAAAAATATAAAATTGTTTAGTTTTACATTGTAAATTGATACATTCTCATAAAACAGTTAAATATAAGTGTTATGGATTTAATTTAGATCCAAATATCAAAAATATATATATAAATCTTACACTAGTATAAGTGGATATCAGAAATCCAATTATATGGGTATAAGAGTTACACACTTTTCTTATCATTAGATCAAAAATTAAAATAATATTTTTATGCTTAAAACTTTTGATTCAATGGTAAAAAAAAAAGAATATCTCTTGCACTAATATAAGTTTTATATATTTTTATCCTTATATCAAAATTAAATTTATTACTAGTTTAAATTAAGATAATATTTTTAATTTTAATAATTTTGATCAAAGAGTAAAAAAATAAGACTTACGCTAATATAAGTAGATCTTTCGTATTTCTCTCTCTCTCTCTCTCTCTCTCTCTCTATATATATATATATAAAAGAAGAGATCAACTTATACTAATATAAAATTTTTTAATTTTACATATATTTTTAACCATTGATTTCAATAAATTCAAAAAATGAAAGACAAATTTAAAAAGAAAAAATATGAATTAATCTCCTCTTTTAAATTTATCATTAGAAAAATGTGTAAAATTAAAAAATTTTATACTAGAGTAACATGATTGCTTAGTATAATATATATATATGCCATCTTTATGCCACTTATGATAACAATCTTCAAATTATTCTGATAAACAAGAGATAATTCACAGCCACAAAGATTGAGGATCCAACCATATATTAACTCATGTTATATAAACCATTTACATCTCAAAGCATCTCAAAGATTACATAAAACAAAAGATAAAGATCTCAAAAAACACAGTACTACGCCCGAATGACAAGATTTACAAATATCTGATCTCTTCATAAATGTAAAGAAATAACCTCATAATTCTATAGGCGAGATCAATAGTGAACCACCTCACCTGCAAATGCACCATGTCATAACATTCAAGCTGTGCATTAACTCAAAAGCATTCTTGATGAGGATGTCAATCACCTCCCCTAGTGGGTCACCATTGATATCAATGTCCATAGCAAGAATAAACATCAGCAAAAGTAATAGAGTATATTCAGCTTTTCCATTCAGAACGTGCTGAGCCCCAAATTGTTGTTGAACAAATAAACATTTGAAATCTGACTACCATGGCATGACAATCTAAACAAATGCAGGAATTTCTTCACATGGATAAGTAAATTTTAATTCTGGTTCTCATGCTTGAAGCACCTGACAGTGAACAATATGACTTCTCAAACCACTTCGGCCTGCTATACTTGACCATATATTTGTAAAAAGAGTCTTGAAATGACCTCTGCCAGCAATGTTTTCCCAAAGATGAGGGTTGCTCTCAACCCCTTTGTCTGAACTGGAAACATCAACAAGGCTTATACTCATATTATTGCGAATGATACAAAGCTTGCCATTGAGAGGAACAAGGGCAGCAGCCTCCAAGGCTGGAGAACTCCCTAAATGGAGCTTACTATCAATAAATTTGTTCCATGAATCTGTGGCTCCATCATACACCCTAAGCTTGCATCCATCACGGCAATCCGGGGCATAGAGCCGTCCATTTAAAGAGATACTAGGGTTGCACCAACCAGAAACCATCCCATCACTAACTGGGGTCCAGGAATTGGTTTCAGGATCATATGCTTCACTCATAACCTCACGATGGGACCCTCGCCCATTTAGAAACCACTTTCCATCATAAACTACCCAAATGAAAGGTACCATAGCAGTGCTCATATCCTGAATAAAACTCCATCGGTTCCTGTTAGGATCATAAACTTCAGCAGATCGTAAAGTCCTTTGAGTTCCCTCACATTTCCCGCCAGCCACATAAAGGCAGTTATTTATTACACAGGAACCAAAGAAATGACGTTTTATAAGCATATCTGGTGCCCTGTGCCACTTATTTGTCCGGGCACTATAGAAAATAACACGTCTCATTGACCCCTTTAGTGGATCCTTTCCTCCAAACAAGTACAAATGGCAACCACTTAGAACAGCACAACCAAAACCAAGGGCCTCAGAATACTCCCTTGGAACTGGAGGAAGTGGCTGCCACAGCTGATGGATGGGGTCAAACGCATTCCATGAGATCTTTCCATCACGATCTCGTTTGAAGACATAAACCCAGTCTTCTGCCATTCCAAGACTTTTCCTGAGAGAATAAAAGAAGTTCCTAGCCAGAAGGCGATTCCAACTCTTACAAACTAAACGGAGCTTTTGGTGTTCAACACGAGGAACTCGAATCAGACATGCAATGGCAAGATCATCAGGAAGGCCAGGGAGAAGAGGTGGCTGGACTCGAGTCCTCTCTTTGCGAGAGTTTTTACTCTTGTGTGCATTAGGATTGATATCAGGCTGGATACAAAGCTTTGACCCTGGAACAAATTTTCCTGCTTCAGCAACTGTCTTTAATCCAGTATCCACTTTACAATAGCAAGATACAGAATCAACCTACAAAAATTTTCCAGTTAGGAGCTAGAAAAGATACAAATCAGAATATGATAAAGATGCAGAGCAGAAAAAAAAAAAGAGAAACTATTCATATTAGATGTATCATTGATCATTAATTGTGCCTTTTGCAAAAAATTTGTACCTTACTCGCACTTTGTGTGCTTACAAAGAATATCAACAAAAGCAGCAACCTTTATCATTTCCAGATGACAACCAAAAAAAAGCTTTAAATCATATTGGATAACTTTTGAACCTGAGTATAAGCTAAAGGTTTAAACCCAATAATTCCTTTAGTCTTGTTTTTGGTATATTGAAAACAAAATTATTTTGACTGCATAGCGCTTACACACCAGTTCATTAATAGGATCTGTCACAAATAACCCTGCATAATTATTTGCTGTGATTAGATAATTGCACAATTGTAGAAAACAAAATTGCAGGTGAAATGCTCCCCTTTATCATGAAAATCACATGTAATTATTGCGCTACAATTAACCAATCACAATTCAGAATTCTATAAGGTCCAACAAAATATTTTATGGAACCTATACATAAGTACCAAACCATTTATCAAGCACAAAGCCACAATCTATATATACGTTTATATCCATCTATAGACATTATGAAGAACCCACAGGGGCTCCTCCATAGTTCTTCCTATATGATGCTAGCCAAGATAACTTAAAAGAGTATACAAATAAGCCAGGCAACAAACTGCAAAGCACTTTTCTCTTTTTAAAGCTTTATTGTATTATCTAACAAACAAAAATATATATATTAATTTCCAACAAAGTAAAACAACAGTTGTAAATAAAGTAAATTAAAAATAACAAACTAATCACTCTCAAAATATCAACTAAAAGAAGAAAAGTATATGAACCAATGAAGCTAAAACCAAAGCCAGCATATTTTAGGACCAAATTCCATTCTCTTTCAAGCAGAAGTAAAATAAAATAAAATAAAAATAAAAATAAAAACCTTCATCAAAATTGAAGAGAAAAAGACTCCAAAACTTAGAATGAAGGGGAAAGAAAACGCCTTAGATGCAGGAATTGAAATACAGAGAATCAAATTGAGAACTGAAAAGGCAAAGTTGCCAGTAACAAACGAAAGTAAAAGAGGAAAATGGTTCCTATTTATATGTTTATAAAATCCCAAATTACCCACCAAAAGAATTTGATCTGGGAATCAACAGCTCCCCAAAGAAAGAACAACCCAATGAAGAAAGCAGAATTCACACCCTCTCTAAACAAAACTGAGCATCTCACACGGGTATTTTCAGAAACCCTTCAAAAGATAAATTAAATAAAAAGAAGCCGTTGTAGAGCACACTAAGCCCTGTCAAAGTCTTGAATTTAGAATCCCAATTGCTCAATTTTCCATCTGGGTATCTTCAAATTTTCATGAAAACTAAATCCCAAAAAGGAACCATGTCATTTTTCCAGTTAACTCCATCTGGGTATCTTTCATATCATGTTTACAACAAATTCATCAACTCAGTATCTCTAAAAATATAAATTTCACAAAAGAAAACAAAAGAAGAAGAAAGGGAAAAGATGATGTTGGAGCTCACCAATGGAGCTTGAACGCGAAACCCCCTGAGAGTATTAGATGACTGCTCCATTCTTTAAAACCAAAGATTCATAGATAAAATCAAAATCTACTATATTCTAACCCCTTTTTCTCCTCTTTTCTTTTCTTTCTCTTTTAAGAGGCTCAGATCGAGACCCCAATTCAGAGATTCAATACTCAAAATCTGATCCTCCAAGCATAAAAATTAAATTTATACTGTCTTTACCAGTATATATATACAATACATACATACTACATATAAAGAAAACCAAGTTTTTTTTTTTTTTCATCCTTTGTTTCCTTTCGTTCATTTCTTTCTTTTTCTTCTAATAAAACACCAACAAAAATAAATAAAAAAAAAAAAAACTTTCTTTGAGTTTTTTTCTCTCTCTCTCTCTCTCTCTAAGTCTTAGTAACAGAACCACTATTGGACCCAGGGTTTCACCAACTTCTTCAAAATTTGTTTTCTTACTTAAGAAATTAATTTTAATTTATTGCTAGATTTTTTTTAATTAGTAGCATTAATTTTGAGTGAATTTTATAATGTTGATGTTGGAGAATTTTTCATGAGGAGGGACTTCTTAATCGTTCACAATTGTTGGGTCAAACCCAACTTTAAATGGTCTATGAGAGAGAAATTAAATGCTTCTTGTTCTTCTTTTGCTTTGGACATAGCACACCCAGTCACGCATTATCCAAGTAATAAAAAATAAAATTTGTTTTCAGAAAAGAAAGTTTGGGATGAATGGGCATTTTTTTAAAATTTATGTCGACAAAAAAATTTATTTATTTTAATTTTAAAAAAAAAACATATGTATCGTTTTTTAAAAGATAAAAACATATATATTCTTAAATTGCTTTTATTATTGTAATTTTGATTTGGGTATTGAGTAATTTTCAATTGAATTAGTGTCACTTAACCTGTGATATCAATTTAGAAGAACACTTTAAAAATATTTGGTATAAGATGATCAAAACATGATAATTCGTACTCAATAATTACATTTTTTTTTGTAACAACTTAAAAATTTTACCTAACAATAATATTGACCTATATTATTTAAAAGATAAAATTACTGCTTTAGGAAGTAATTAAAATATTTAGTATAAGATGATTTATTTAAAAATTATTATTGTTTGTCCTTAATAATTATATTACTTTGTTTAGTAGTAATTCAAAAATTTTATGTGACAATAATTTTAAATCATAGGAGTATTAAGATAATTATTTTAGGGAGTAATCTGATTCTCAACTTAAAAGATGAAAAAATTTTTATCACCATGAGAAACTAATTTTTAATATTATTTTTAACTAATTTTTATCATGAAAAATATAATTAATATTACCCAAAAAATTAGTCACTAAAAATTTTAAATATAAGTTTTTTAATAACTTATTTTTAAAAAATTTTATATTATAAATTTATATTGATTAAAAAAATAATAAATTTATGTAATAACTTTTTAAAAAATTATTTTTATCAAATTTGATTTATACTTCATAGTTTTTTTATAAAATAACATTTAAATATTTTAAAAATTGTTAATTTAGTAAATATTAATTTTTTTTCAAAGTTGTTTTAGATATGTTGTACTATATGATTTATTTTTCATATAATACTAAAATATAATGATTTAAAAGTACTAGTGATTTTATAATATTACATCGGATGTGAAAATTTAAGATCATTAATAGCCAAATCATTTTGACGATTTTATCATCATGATAATTAAATCAACGTGATAAACTCGAAAATAATATCAAACATTACCTATTTTTCAACTAAAATGATGAAAAATTTTACCATCAAAAAATAATTTTTAATATTATTTTCTTATGAATTTACTTCGACTATACTGAAATAAATATATAGTTCCTCCAAATTTAATATTTATTAGAAAATTGCTTCGATTTTGCTGAGTCATAAGTTTCTTTTTGAAAATTTTAATTATATGAATTTTTAATAGTAAATATTTATATATTTTCATTTACAAATTTAAATTTGCATTTTTTAAAATATATAATTGATTAATTAAATATTAATATTCTCTCTAATTTTTTTAAATTATTGTATATTTCATTTATTTTATGTAATTGAATAAAGCTAATTTGGCATCCAATTGACTACGTATGGAATTATATTTTTTTTAATTTTAAAATAATATAATTTATTATAAACTTTTACATAATAATAATTATGTGTATCAATATTATTTAAAGATGTAGCTTTAAATATATTCAATTAAAAAATAATAACTGATAGAAAAATATCACATTATCTCAAATTTCCAAAATATTCTTTATTATTAATTCATCCATTCATCTAACGAACAAAACAAATTTCTTAATTTTAATTAAAAACATGAATAAAGAAAAAATAGTATTAATTTAAAAATTATATCTTGCAGTATATATATATATATATATATAATATATATATATAAACTTTCGAATGTTACATGACCTTTGATATAGTGAATTAGGTTAAAATGTCATATGAGCCAAAATTAAATAATATTTTTATGTTGACGTTTTCTCCATTTTTCCATTTTTATATATGTATATAAATTTAATGATATTTTAACATAAAAGTAATAAAAATATTTCATCAAATATATGAGATATTATGATAATATCAAACTAAAAATAAATAAAAAGAAAATATTTAAACTTAATATTTAATATATTGAGATTATGTTTTAATTATTTCTTTTGGTGGTATGTATAAATTATTTTAATATTTTATTTTTTAACTTAATTGATTATAAAATATTTATAAAAATAGTTAAAACAAAATGTGTATTGCCTATGGGACATTTGACTTTGACCCAATTCATTTTAAGCAAGATAAATACATACTAGGTAGGATTGACAACCCAACCCGAGTCCGACGGATTTCGATCCGACCTGATTTTATAGAATTAATTTTTTTTTTAAATCGAGTTTCGAGTCGGATGTTTTTAAGAAAAACTTGGAGTCAGGTCGGGTTCGGGTTTTAGGCAAACCCCACCTGACCCGATATTATATTAAAAATTATTTTTTTAATTATTTTTTAAAATTTTTTATTATATATAATTATATAATTATATATTTATATTTAAAAAATAATATTTTATATTTTAAAAAATAATATTTTATTAATTTCGAATCGAGTCAAGTTTAGAGCGAACAAAATCTTACCCTGCCCCAACCCGTTGTCAACCCAATACTGAGTCCAAAACAATTAGCCAAATTCTTCTACTTCTGTTTTTTTTTTTTTTTTGCTTGTCTTAAAACTATGTAGTTTTGATAGCACTTAGAATAAACCCTAAAATTATATCTTTTTCTTATCTCTCTTCTCACTTTTGCCCATTTTTCTTTTTTTTTTTTGTCATTTTCCCTCTTTCTTTCTGAAATTTTTTTTTGTTTTTTATCTTTTCAAAAAATTAAAAAAAAAAAGCTTGATAGTTTTTCATATCTAAAAGTTTTCTCGTTTTTTTTTTATTTGATTGTTCTTTGTTTGTTGGTTGATTGTGGTGGAAGATGATTTTTTTTGTGGTAAATTGTTATTGTTTTTTTTTTTTTTTTGGAATTTAAGAAGAAAATATCACATATGTTTTTTGTTTTCATTTGTGTCGACATGATTTTTTAGATAATTATGAAATTTTAAATTAAATTTTAAGTCTTATCTTTTTTTAGATTTTTTTTAAAAAAAGTCCAAATATGCTTGTGTTTTTGTTGGTAATTTTTGGAATATTTTGTTTTCCTTATTTTGTGAGATATTTTTTACGAAAAAATCTGGAAGTTTTATAATTTTTGAAACTAAAAACCAATCATCTTTGTTCTGGTTTGGTATGTGCATATTCTAGAATTTGATTTTTAGTTATAATTTGAGTACATGTGTTTGTGGATTTTTTTCAAATTATTTGATTTTTTTTTTGTATTTTAACAATTTGGGAATTTTTTACCCTACTTGATTTTGATTTTTTACTTCAGTTATTTTTTTTAATTATATTTTTTTATCTACCAAAGTCTCGAATTAAAGAATGGTTACAATTTCAAGTTGATACAAGTTCGATTTTATAGGTTGAGTCTAGATTAAGGGACATTGACAGCCTATTAAGCCTCAAAATACATACTTTTTACATAATTATTCTCCTAAATGACCTAATACCAAGTGCTACCCACTCCATACCATGAGAAGCTAATGAATTCTTGAAAAATGGTGGCAAAAACATGTGACAATAGTAATTGAAGATTGAAATTAAGTGAAATTGATAACGTGGCATTGATACGGCTTCTGAATTGATTTCATGTTAAAAGAATCTGTTTAACATTATTTATTTATTTGGTTGCATCCACTAAGATTGAAGCCAATGGGTGTTTGATGCTATCCTAATTATTCGTTTCAAATAAAAATTTTAATTTCTCACAAGTTTGATATATAAAATTTTTTGGATGAAAATTAACAATGAATAATACGGCTTGTTAAAACGCATGATAAATTGAAATAATAAGTAAGGTTATAAATGAATTGAATCTAGCTTAATTCTCCATTGTTCAAGCTCAGTTTTGTTGATAATAAACAAGCTTATAGATAAACAAGTTCTTAATAAATTGGACAACATATATTCGAACTCAGTTCCACTACTTTTAACAAGTTTTAGCCAAATACAAATGAGTTCTAGCTTTAAATTCCAATAAATGGACTTAATGCTTCTACAACTCGAAATTGTAACCTACAACCAATTTATGGATTGGCTTGCTAGCTTCTATATTTGTACCATTAGTATATGCACAAATGATAGGAAAAGGGTGGGAATTTAGGCTTTAACCATCCTTTGTTTTGGTTTTTAAGCGATGTAGTATTCATTTGTATATGTATATATGTATATGCATAGATATGTGGTAAAGTAAAAGGATAGGAATTTATAGGCTTTACCTATCCTTTGTTTTGGTTTTTATGCTGATGTGGGATTGCTAAAAATAGGTTTCTATTCTTTCAAACTTCATTCAAATATATTATCCAATTTTTAAGCATATAAAAAGAGTTATTTAGTAATAATATTTTTAAAAAGTTAAAAATTATTTTGATTTATGTCATATATAAATTTTATATGATAATTTGTAAATTGATAAAAGATATTAAATCTTAAAATAATCAACTTTTAATATTTTAAACAAATTATAATCAAATTTATTCATGAACATTAAACGAGTTTATTTGCAAATATAAATGAACTGAACAGACTTCTGTTTGTGTTCAGTTCGTTTAATAAACAAATATAAAAATATTATTTAAACTTGTTTGTTAAGTTTAATACACGAATATAAACAAATAAAAATTACACATATTTACAAATAGTTCGTCGAAAATTCTATTCATTTACACACTTAATAATAGGATGGTATGTAATTTTAGTCAAGTGGCATCTCACATCTGTCCAAATTAATTTTTTAAATATAACAATTAATTTTCATTTTCTTATCTAGGACAATGGTTTAGGGGAAAAAAAAACAAAAATCAAAACAATGGTTAGTGATCAATCCTTGTGACTTGATTGTAATTTTTGATATGATGAAAATGATAAGAGA